ATTGAATTGTTAAGGGACATGGAGACTAGTGATTTTTTTCCTACAGTAGTAACTTACAACATTGTGCTTCTGGGATTATGCAAAGCTCATAGAATTGACGAAGGCATTGGAATGCTGGCAAAAATGGTCAAAAAGGGTTGCCGGCCAAATGAAACTTCATATGTTCTACTACTCGAAGGTATTGGTTTTGCGGGATGGAAAGTAGAGGCCATGGAGCTCGCAAATTCTCTATGCAAGAAAAATATTATTTCTCAACACTCCTTCAAGCGTTTGAACAGAACCTTTCCCGTGCTAGAAGTTTATTATGGTTTTAGTAACTCAGAAACTAAGAACTAACCCTTTGGTGTCTTAAATTGTTTTAATTTCTTGACCTCTAAAGTATGATGCAGCCTTTCTTTAAATTGAGCTTGAAGCTTCAGGTTCTGATCCTCGTCATGGTCGATTGGATTGGCTAACGGATGTTCTATACTTCTCTATTGAAGTGAGTCTTCGAAACTGATGTACTACATCGTTCTCATGTTCAAAATGAATGTAACTTCTTCAGGCAGAAGATTTTCAATGTATATAAGACAGCAGATAATGATACAGATCCACACACTGTTAATCAATTATCTTAGTTCAGAATGCTACTCGATATACCATTCATTATATCTCTGCTTGTTAGTGTGTTGAGTGAGAGAACTTGGATTTTTGTGGGATCAAGAAAAAGAAACAATAACATATTCTTTGAGACACTGTAGCCTGGCACGTTTTGGTCCGATAGAATAGACAACACTGTGGTCTGTGCACCTAATTACTCCCACCTTCAGATTTCTGCTGCCGGACTCGTAAATCATTGCAACCTGAGATTTTATCACCATCAGATGGTGGTGCTCGAGCTAAAATGGCTCTGTGCATTGCCTCTATCAGGCTTTTCACCTTTGGATTTGTTACTGCGCAATTTTAATAATTCACATGTCAGATCAATAAAAAATAATTTTAGTAGATTAATAAAATATTGACAAATTTAGAGAATATTTCAATTGACTCTTCCAACATTTGTAACAATAAATAAAAACTCTTAATTTTTATATTCTAATAAATTAAATTTTGTTAATGAATAAAAATGAAAAACAATCAATTCAAATAATTTTTATATTAAAGATGTAATATTGTAGCTTAAAATCAATTTCTTATTCATTTTAAATTAGGGTAATTTTGCAATCTAAAAAATTGTTAAAAATAAATGCGATTTTATTGGTCTAGATTTTTTTTTTCTTTACGCGAGAAAGTTTCATAGAAGGTTATAATCTAGAAATATAAATAATAAATATATAATTGTGTAAAAGCGAAAACGGAAAAAGTATACGCGTATATGATCAAATGAGAGGAACCAACACAATGTTAATTTAAAGAGAGAGAGAGAGAGAGAGAGAGAGATAAATGAGAAAAAATAGTTAATTTAGGGTGTGTTTGAGCCACATTATTTTGAAAAAATGTATTTTGGAATAGTAGATTGATGGAGAATGTACGGTTGAAAAAAAAGGAAAA